CATTAGCTAATTTTCCATCATTAAACTGCGAATAAATAAGAAAGATGATTTTTTTCCGACTTTTTCGTCAAAAACTGCCAGAACTGCTCCCTTTTAAAGGGATGCAGACTTTACTGATTATTTTTTACGTGTTTGTTCATGTGTGTGCTTTAAGCAATGCTTGGACGGCATATCATTTTGCAAAAACCAGTACTTTTCCTTAATACGTGTGTCGTTTCCTGTAAACTGTGCACCACTTGAACATTTGGCACTGATGCTTCCTGCTGAGGAGCTGGGAAGGGGCAAAGGGAGGAGACAGGAGCGTTCCATCTTCTTGTTGCCCAATGATTTTATTCATTGATGAAAAAAAAAACAGGTAATCAGGTCTACTTCAGAAGAATGCGAATGCAGAGGAGTGCTGCACTCCACTGCCCGCGATAGTTCCACATTTTTACAACTGTCGGGTGTCTGTAATGAAGGCCTTTTGACGAAGGAGGGGCAGTATTGGTTGGCCAGAGACTAATTAACCAGTTTCCACAACCGATTCACTGATAACTTCGTCCGCGCCTCCTCATCCATTCGTTCTCCTAGTGCAGCTGGTAGCATAGAAAAAATTCCGGAGCACATCGTAGGAAATGAATGTTTAATACTGAAAGGGAGGTTGGCGTCCTGGAGTGGGGCGAGGGCGGGGCAAGGGGCAGGAAAAGGGTTGCACCGTGCTAGGGGCAGGAATAAGACGCAAGTTGTGTGGATGGGCTGCTACGGGTGGCATTCAAAAAACTGGAGTGCGCAGGAGGCTATAAAATGGGGACAGTGTGGAATGGTTGAATGCGCGGAGCACATCCCTTAATTCCAGAAAAATCTGCTTGCAGCACGCGTACACAATGCACGAAGCCAGGATAATCGCAGTGATAGCAGCAACATGCAGTACTATGGCGATTCTTGCATGTGTGGTGGTGATACCAACTCTCTACAACACCATCAACGAGGTTGGTACTCGTGTTTGGATAATTTTGCTTCTGACTGAATCCAACGTGTCGCCCACTTCATCCAGTAAAGGGCAAGCGTTCGGTTCCGCTGTCGTGGTTTAGCCAAATGCTTTCCCGTTTTTTTACGCCGAATCTTGGATACTAGTTCACTTAAGATGCT